CTCTCTCTGCCACATGAGGACACAGCAAGTCAGGAAAAGAGGCCTCATCAGAACTCAACTATGATGGCACCCTGACATCAGACTTTCAACCTCTGGAACTGTGAGAAAAAAACGTCTGTTGTTTGAGCCACCCAGTCTGAGGAACTTTGTGATGGGAGCCCAAGCTGGATAAGGCAGAAGTTCAGAAGTCACAACTCTTTCCTGCCCAGTTCCCAAAGGGAAAGCTTGGTCAGAGGGAGCCAATTCTAGGGGCCTGCAGGTCTCAGGTTGAGCGTGGACAGACAGTACTTTGAGAAGCTTTGGGATCCTGCAGGCTGGAGCCTACAGCTGAGGGACCCGCCTAGGTTGGGCAGGCCTGCACCTGGGTGCTACTTCTGTCAGGTGTGCTTATTCTGAAAGGTGTGGCCGTGGGCAGGGCTAGCCATGAAGGAGGATAGTGCGGGGCCAGCAGTGGTTCTGGGGTGATGCCCCAGCATGAGTTGGGACCTCTGCTCTCACTCACTCCTTGGGCCTGCCCTCCCGGAGGCAAGCATTGCCCTCGGCTTCCCCTTTCTCCTCTCCTGGTTCTTTTTCAGTGTCTTTCCTGCCTTTCAGAGCCGCAGGCCCTTTCTGGCGTCCAGTGTGGTTACCAAATGGTTTTAATTAGACAAACTGATGGCTGTGGACTGTTACCCAGGAAACTAAGACCCTTAATCCTCCAGAAATGTCTGAGTCCCCTGGAAGGCCCTGGTGGGGGGAATGCAAAGCTCCTTATCTGGGGTCTTCGGAGGCAGGTGGGCCATGACATTCTCCCAGCTGTCTCTGGTCCCTACCCTGTCCACACAGATGGCAGCCTTTCACGATGACCGTGTCAGCAGCAGGCTTCAAAGCTGTATTTCTTTGTCATTATACAGTGGTAGGAGGGGAGGGGAAGAAAAGTCTCACTGTCTAGCACTGTGGGATGTACTTAATGTTTTTCCAAAGCATCCCTGGATTAAAAGGCTGGAGCACCCGAGGTCATCTGATCCAGTCCCCTGCCTCTGAGGGTAGGCCTATGGCTCAGACAGCTCAGAACCAGCACAGCTGTCTCTCTTCTTTGCCTGTCTCATTAGCCTCCTGAATGAGATGACATCAGCCACAAAGGGGACACCTCTGCATGCCCTGCCATCTTGCTCACGATCCAGTCTCAGTCCCTCCCCGCTGGCGGAGAAGGAAGAAGGCACATACATACACATTTCCATACTCCAGCTCGGTGATGGTGATGGTCTTGACGTGCCAGAGCAGTTCTCTGTTGGGGATGAACCGCTCATTCCTGGCGAGGTGGCCTACACAGATGCCGGCAAGGTCCCCCAAATAGACGCTGTCAAACTCAAAAATGTCTGTGGTCCCCCTGCAGGACACAAAGGTGTAGCCAATGAGAGCTGTCCATGCCCCATGAAGGAAGTAAGCATTTATTGAGTACCTACTGTATTCCAGGCACTGGTCTGAGGAATAGGGATAGAATGACAAGCGAGATCTGATATCAGGCCTCCATTCCTTGAGGGGGTTAGTCTGGTTTTGAAAGAAGACAATCACAACCATTAAAAAGCCTCGCCAGCTGCCTGGTTCCAGCCCAGCATCAATGGATGGTAACATCAGGTGGAGTCGGGTGGAGGGTGAGGTGCTGGACCCTGGGTGTTGGGTGGAGGGGGGTGGTGGGATCAGAGAGCAAAGGGACAGGGAGGAAGGGAACAGTCCTCTGATGTGGACCTGACTTGGCAAAGCCATGGGATCAGAACAGTGGGGCGTGGAGGTGCACACATTTCTGGGGGGAGTGCTGGCTCGGCTGGAGTTTGGGTTCAGTGGGGGGAATGGCAATGGAAAGGAGGTGGGGTGTGGCAGTCTGTGGTGGTCTGTAGGTGCCAATCGAAGGAGCTCAGACTTCGTCCTGACGTAGAAGGAGTTTAAATAAAAGGTAGAGTAGGTTATGGGAGGGGGGGGAGTTTATTTAAGCAATTCTATAAGGAGTGGGCATCTGAGCAGTTCAGAGGCAGCTTGGATGTGGGGGAGGAGGTGAGATTCCCCAGGCATGTCTGCCAACCGGGAGTGGTGAGTTGGAGGCACCTTGATACGAGACTGAATTTTGATTTTCCTATAAAGCATCTTAGAGCTTCCTCTCTTCCTCCCTCCTTTTGACTAGAACTTAATTATAAGTTGTCTTAGATGATCCTTTTGCAATTTTATGGGCAAATGTCTTCCTTTTCAGCTAGACGGTGAGCTCCTTGTGTGTGTGGTCATGGGATGTCTGTAGTGATTCCCATCCTGCTGCATAGTGGGCTCTCTTTAATTAGTTTATGGTTGCTGTAGCTTTCTATTCACTTTTTAAAATTGGAACATATTTGATATATATAATATTGTGTAAATTTAAGGTGTACAACNTGGGGGGGTGGAGGGGGTGGGGCCTGGAGTAGGATTTCTGAGAGCCACCCAGGCTGGAACCCCTCCCACCCTTCCCCTACCTCTAAACTCTAGAGAGCATTTGGCGCTCTTCCCAGAAGGAGGGACTGAGGCACAGAGAAGTGATGGGTTATTGCCTGAGGCCACACAGCTGACTAGGTCACAGCTCTAGTATTTGGACTCCCTGCACCCCATCCCCCTTCCCTTTGGGAAGAGCCCTGCCCTGAGGACATCCCTCCCTCTCCCTCTAGCCCAAGGACAAACTGACCCAAGGTCACACTCTTGAGGGTGTAAGAAAGATGCTTCATGGAGTGGTGGCTTCTTTTACTGGATGAAAAATCCTACAATTCGGCCCCGGGACTGTGGGATGAGGAGTTTATGGACTGGGCTTTCACTTCCCTTCCTGCTGAGACCAGAATGTGCTGGGTGGTGCTAAGATCTTTGGCTCTCTCCTGCTCACAGCCAACACTGTTGGTTTAACGTTAATTCAAGTGGTGACTATTTTATTTGATTATCGTATTGTACAGCAGTATTTTGTTTTATTTATTTTGGGGATTTGCAAAGGAGCAGTATCAGCAGATGCATTCCCTGTGGCTGGGAGGTGCCCAGTTGCAGAAGGGGCTTTGACCTGTCCCTGCTTGAGAGGTGAGTTGGTGACCCTTCTGGGCCCTCTGTGTCCCAGCTGTCAAGTCCTCACCAGTATTTCTCCCAGCAGCCACGCCCAGTGACTTCTACAGCATTTATTGTACACTTGCTGGTCTTTCTCTAAAAGAGCAACCAATAACATTGCTGCCCAAGAAGGAAGCTGCTATGGACTGAATTGTGTACCCCTCAAACTCACACGTTGAAGCCCTAACTCCCCGATGTGATGGTATTTGGAGATGGGGCCTTTGGGGAGATAATTAGGTTTAGATGAAGTCATAAGGGTGAGGACCCCAAGATAGGATTTGCAACCTTAAAAGAAGAGAGACACCAGACACCAGGGTTCTCTCTCTCTCTCTCTCTCTCTCTCTCTCTCTCTCTCTCTCTCTCTCTCTCTCTC